GGTGTTCGGGAGGTCATGGGTTCGATTCCTGTCGGGGACTCAGAATTTTTCTTTGTCCCACGCTCGTGTCATGTTGATTAATTCACCTTCACAATATTTTATCGTTTTTTCAGGCCAACTTTTGGGTACTTGCCGCAAATCTTGGCTTTAGCTTTCTTGCAGTGTTTCACTTGGCATATTTGGGGATCATGTTTGGTAGTGACTCGGGAGAGCAGGAAAGGGTAAAAAAAAATATACCTTATAGGAAATGAAACCTTGCAGTGTCTACGTTAAGGTGGCTCAAAACAGTTTCCAGCAGCTGAATTTTGATGGGTCATTGTAACCACTCTTTATCACTTGATGCTACAATCATGGTATCAAAAAACTGCCCAGTCATTGGTGAACACATTGTTATCATTTTCGTGACACAATAGGTTACCATAGCAACATTATGACCTTCTAAAAACACCCTTAATTACAGCTTTATAGGGTTATAAATCAAAAACAGCACAGTGAAATTTCTTTATGTTATCAACTTTTTGTAAGCATGATAAGCCACAACACTTGGCAAAGTTTTAAAAAATCTGTACATAGGATTCAGAACCACCTCAAAGTTTTGAAAATTTAAGGTGGCTCTGAACCTTATGTACAGAATTTTGTTAAACCTTCCTAAAAGTTGTGTGTAAAAAAATCTCTGTGCCGTTTTTGAATTATAAGCCCATAAAGCTATAATTAAGGGTGTTTTTAGCAGGTCATACTGTTGCTATGGTAACTTATTGTGTCACAAAAATGATAACAACATGTTCACCAATGATTGGGCAGTTTTTTGGTACCATGATTGTAGTATCAAGTGATAAAGAGTGGTTATAATGACCCATCGAAACATAAGTGATGGAAACTGTTTTGAGCCACCTTAATGAAATATGAACTTCAAGGGCAAAATATAATTTTTCAAATTATAGATATTATAATAAGAGGGAGATATAATAATGCCTGATGAATGAAGTTATGTGAATGGTGCAAAGAAAGTTCGAAGCAATTCACGCAGAGTACAGTAGAGCAGGTTAACTGTCTGCATGCATTGCAGGCCTATGTTATTAATAGTAACTTGTAAGAGGAACTCCTGTGGAATCTAATTTTATTATATTTATAAAATTCATCTTTTCAGGGTTATGGCATGAAGCACACTCTAAGCAAATGGTCTCACTTGGATTTTGCCAGTCACTGGGTAGCGTTAGTGACATTCCTTCTTGGTAGAATCATTGGTTGATCCATAAATCAATCACGAGAGACAGAAACCACCACAGCTGATTTGTAGCTGTTGTTTATTTCAAAAAGACAACANCACAATTCAATACATGTAACTCAACAAACAACTGCGTGTGACACTATGTAGGGTTTTCTGTTCATTGCGCTGCTCGAGAACGAGGCGAGGGAAGTCCCCTTGTTTAGATTCGTTTTCGCCTGATCAATGCTGGCATTTTTTCATTGACGGATAATTTACTGTTCTATTATGTTAAGTTCAAATGCCCAGATATGGTTATGTTTTGATATTATTCTTATTATGGTTTTGCATTTCTGCTGTATATTGTTTACAAGAGGGGAAGGAAGGAAATGTAATCAATATATATACACTCCGAGCATCGCTGGACTTTGGACAGAGAACATGAAAAAAGGTCATGAGGGCGATGGGAAGGGGAAAGTTTCGTTTTTCTTTATTTCTTAAATGAGCTGGAACCATTCTTTTTAAGATAATTGTCTGAGCGAAGCGCAAGTGAAGTTTTGTATCCATCAAACAGACTAGATACATTAAACATTCCCCAAGTATTAGACCCGTGTAGGGTTGGGTTCATTGAGATGAACGCATTCATTTCACCTCACACTACTGAAGCTCACCGAAAATATGCTATCACAATATTTGTCACCAAAAAGATTCTATATTGAGCACTAGAGTTATAAACTGCGATGCCTTACAGTTACTGTACTAGCGTGATATAGCAGAACGAACAAAGATCTCAGTTCCAAAAATACCACTTATCTGCCTGCTACACTAGACTGCCAGTCAATAAACCTTGAATTTGAAATGATCGCCGTCTAAGGGCCTGATTACATGATACATAATAATACCTGATGAATGAAATTATGTGAATGGTGCAAAGAAAGTTCGAAGCAATTCACCCAGAGTACAGTAGAGCAGGTTAACTGTCTGCATGCATTGCAGGCCTATGTTATTATTAGTAACTTGTAAGAGGAACTCCTGTAGAATCTAATTTCATTATATTTATAAAATTCATCTTTTCAGGGTTATGGCATGAAGCACACTCTAAGCAAATGGTCTCACTTGGATTTTGCCAGTCACTGGGTAGCGTTAGTGACATTCCTTCTTGGTAGAATCATTGGTTGATCCATAAATCAATCACGAGAGACAGAAACCACCACAGCTGATTTGTAGCTGTTGTTTATTTCAAAAAGACAACATAATATACAAATTGGAATAAAATCAGAAAACTAGCCTGCAGAGCATGTGCCATTAGAGTATCACAAAGCAGTGATACTCAGGACAAATGTTCTAAAAGGCGTTCAGTATGCCTGTGCCGATCCTTAATTAGGTTGTATNTTCCAAAAATACCACTTATCTGCCTGCTACACTAGACTGCCAGTCAATAAACCTTGAATTTGAAATGATCACCGTCTAAGGGCCTGATTACATGAGCCGGGCTGGCCCAGTTAGCCGGGTTGGTGTCAGTTTACCGGGATCTCGGCACGTTTGTTAAACGCAACAAAAATCAACTTCGCGATTACATGACAACCGGACCAGCCCGTTTTGCCGAGATCCCGGTATCGCGGTGCTGGGATCACGGCTAACCGGGCTGAGATTTTTCCATGTAATTCCGTTTGCCGGGTCAGCCCGGTTCATTAAGCAAATCAATATTCCTCTTTCTATATAGCAGAAACAGATATAAAAGTCCATGTAACTGCATAAATGCAGAAGATAATACAGCCAACTGCTGGAAAAAGGCCATTACAATCATTCGTCGCATTCTAGTAGTGTCCGTTTTGAAAAATACAACTTCCCGCCATAATATACTAGAGTATCGAGCGGCTCGCGCCTTATTCGCGCCAATTCCATCGCATCAGCCATCAACCGGGTTGGCTCGCCTCATGTCATACCGGGCTGGAAGTCATCTCGGCACTCCGAAGCAGCACGGCTAACCAGGCCAGACCAGCTAATGTAATCAGGCCCTAAGAGGTGCCGAATACAACAACCGAGCACTTCTTTTAATTAAGTATAAAATCTTGCAAAGGATAAAAGGAATTCTGGTAATATCTATTTTTTTTTGTTTTTATGTTTTTTTTGGGGGGGGGGGGCATCCCGTCTCATCTGGGAATAGATCACCTCGGTAGTGAGCAGTCTATCGATTCAATACAATTTCAACGAAAGATAAACTACAACTCCCATATGGTGACATCGCGTCTAGCACCTACGGAGACTGGTACAAGTTCTTTCTCAATGTTCTTCCTACATCGTACTCCATTCTCGTCCTCAGAGGCCACGCTCCTTTTGGTCAGCACCAAAAATCGCGACCTCTAGACTGCGAGCCGTCTCTCTTTTCCTCGAAAATCCGTTGGGAAGAACGGAAAACAAGTAAGCGTACGAGCGTGACTGTGAGCGTGACGTGCGAGCGGCGATGCCGCGGGCCGCTAGTAGCGCGGGCGTCGGCGTCTCTTTTTGCTCGCCTTTCCGACGCCCGTGCTACAAGCGGCTCGTGGCATCGCCGCTCGCATGTCACGCTCACAGTCACGCTTGGTTTTCGAGCAAGAGAGAGACTGCTCGCAGTCTACAAGACCTCTGGTCGGGTCCGATTTTCTGAGCATGCGCAGAGAATTCGTTTCGTTCTCTCAGCCAATCAGATTTGTCAGACTTGATTCAGAATATGCGCAGAGTGACGGGAAGTCCGTGAATCGCGGACTTCCGGTGTTGGACCTTGCCAGAGGTCGCGATTCTTGGTGCGGACCAAAAGGAGTGCGGCCTCTGGGGACGAGACGTGATAGAAGATGGCGGCCAATCACATGCGCAGTCTGCCATCCTGACGAACAGTATCCGCGTTCACCAACAAAGAGCATGAAAGTTCAGTTAGTAATACTCGATGTCTGAATCATTGATGTCTTCTTCGTCTTCGGCTTCGTCGGGATCAAATGTAACAAGAGAAGAAGGCGACGTTCCTGATGGATTCAGTCGTTCGGTAGCCTCCAAAGCCACTGGAAAACGCTGGTGATATCGCTTCAAAGTTAGATACTTGACAGCGACGAGACGACCTGCAATTCACAACCAGATGAAAGCTTACGTGCATACAGTATCACTCGTAAGCCCCATAGCTTTTCTGACAATGAGATTAGGATGGAATGTTCTTTTTATAGGAATCAAAATTGCATCTGGACATTTTAAGTATTTACCACGTAATGGTAGGCTCGATTACCTGCAGCTGTCCGGGAAATGACCCCGCGCTCCTTCCCCTAACCTTCGGGAACTGGGGCCCGTTTCTCGAAAGCCCCGGAAACTTTTCGGGCACGCCAAGCCATTTTTAGTTAGTCGGCATTTAAAGATAGAGAGGTGCATACACCTGAAACTTTTTGTATGAAGGGAGCTTCTGTTCATATTAAGAATATGTGCAGAAAACAGCTCTGTAGTCATAAGTTTTGAGATTTTGCTACGGCTTTTCGGGCGCGAAAACTTTTCGGGACCTTCGAGAAACGGGCCCCAGGACCGGAGAGAGCGTAGGTCACGAAATATCAAAACAACATTTTTTTGCTGCGTTAAAAGCAAGGAAACTTCAGATTTTTTTGTAATTAACTACTAATTTATCAGCAATTTAAGAGGATATTCGGTTACATCTCCTCTCTCTGGTCCACCGCATTTTTACAAGCCTGAATCAGCTGTCATTGAAGCATTAGCCATGACATATAAATGAAAATAGAAAAATTCACATCGCTGACATCATTCATTCAAAGTATTCACACAGCTTACCGTCAAACCAACATCCATGAAGACTTCTAAAGGCCAACCCTGCTGAATGGTGAGTGTCACACTTCAAATACACGCATCCCTGAAAAGTGTCACGCAAAGTTAGGACGGCAGGTGTCTCATACAATCACAGACCGGACAGAAAAAAAGAAATCGTTCGTAACACCAGTTAGCAATTTTTCCCTTCCTACGACGATGGAACTCGATTTAACGGGAAGTGAATGGGTGTATGTTCAGTGCAAGCAATGTAGATGTGCTTTTCATATCCAGCAGAACATTATTTGAAAACCAAAATGGTAGGATGCAGGTACTAAATGATTTTGTTTGTACCCGGTGTACCCAGTGAAAACAGGGAACGGATGTCTCCGTCAATTTTTGGCAGATAGCATTTGAATGATCCACAAAACAGAAATCAGTGAATATACTATTCGGAATCGACTGACTTGTTGCATTGAAGTCAAGGCACGTTTTGAATCACCATTCACACGCGCCGATTTGCTTTTCATTTAAGCGCGCTTGTCAAATCGTGCTGATAAGCGGATGCGTATAAATTAGCCTTTGCTTAGGTCTTTGACTCTTCACAGACCTCACCTACAGCCTCATATGCACATGTTCTTATGGCTCGTCATGTACTCCTCCTCAACGAGCGCTCATGGGGGAAGGGAAGATCGATGTATCAGACCAGGTTTTGGGCCAACCAAGACAACACGCCCACCCCACACAGTAAAGACCACACACCCCACCCCAGTTATAGCCTGCAATTTTCATTTCAGCTTGACCTTGGACATTTTTCATGGATTGGCTTTCTCAAAATGTGTGCAATGCCAATCTCTTAATTATTCTGCCTCTTCTGCAATACAACCGGCCCTAGTTATTCAAAGGGCGAATACCACTATCCATGAGACAAATCACTATCCAGTGGATAAGTCTTCACAAGACAAACCACGCTATTCACTGGATAGTGATTTATCTGGTGGATGGCACTATCCATCCTTTGAACAACTGGCCCCTTTACTTAAATAACACTGCTATACGTATAAACTCCAGGTATACCTCGCTAGAACTCTTGTCCACCGCTATATGAACCACACCTGCTCCATTCTCAATACACTTCTCCAATATGGCATCTTGGATCATCACATGCCAGCCATCTTCCGTTTCACTGCAATAACCACAACTCAAAATCATGAATGACTGTCTCTAAACCAAGCACTGAAATGTCTATTTAAGAAAAAATAAATAAAATAAAAATACCAGAAAACTGCTGTTGTTTAGCATGAATAGTAGTGAAAATCTAATTCACAATGCATAATCATTGGCAAGTTCCTGTATGGTCTTTGCCAAGGCATTGATTGTTTATTTGCTTCATCGGCGCAAACAACAAATCAGGCACAAAAAGCTGCCCATTTTTTCTTCACGGAAATAAAGAGGTTTACAACTGGGTAGAATCACCCTGCATTCAGGATAACTGACTGAGGGGGTACATCACTTAAGTAGACAGATGCATCTTTTTATCAACAGTTTCCGCTGCAGTTTTTGTTAAATGTTGCGTTCATACAGTTAACAGATTTAGCAAAATTACTCATGACTAAAGGGTCTTTGATTCTTTCAAAGCTCAAGGTTTCTTTGCCTTTCAAAGACTCAAGACTAATTATTGTTTCTTTCACATGTTTAGAAAACATGCATTCATGAATCCTTCAAACAAGGGTTTATTGAACAGTCTGTCAGATCATAAATGCACACTTACACATCAGGATCAAACATGTTCCTTATTTTCAAACATGGCGTGGGGCTAATCACAGGCGGATTTACAGCTGACTGAAAGTTTTCAAATGCTGAAAAAGAAACAACAGAACTGTCAAAGCTCAGATCACTAAGGAGTGGTTTACACTTGTCCCACAACAAAAAATCCAGACATTAAGATAACTAAAAGGAGGTATATCATAAGGAAATGTACACATTTTATCAGGGTTCGTACTCTTTTGAGCTTTTAAAATTCCATGACTTTCCATGACCTTTTTGACTTTTCCATGACTTAAATTAAGCAGTAGTCTCCTCCGCAGCCGTTATTAGGGTCGTCATGCAATGCTTCTCCCCCACCAAGAAGAAGAAGGGGAGAAGCGTTGCGTGACGACCCTAATAACGGCTGCGGAGTAGACTAATTAAGCAGCTGTTCTGACAGTATTGTCAAAAACAATGAATTATTTATTTCAGGTATCATCCGACATTATAACACACAAAATCCGTGCTTGTGTTTATTTCCACTGAAATTAAACCAGCTTCCGACTTGTTTGTTATCTTTTCATTTTTTAAAAAAATCTTTTCGCCTTTTTATTCTCAGAAAGCATACTGCTTTTCCATGACTTCCCATGAGCCTCATGTAAAGTCCATGACTTCCCAGGCCTGGAAATTGAAATTATAAATTCCATGACTTTCCAGGTTTCCCATGACCCGTATAAACCCTGTTTATTGTCATTGTATTTTATCCTTCTGTATTGCCCATTTATGAAATATCTGTATTGAGATATTGGTGCTAAGGTGCATCCCAAGAAAAAGATCATTCCCAACATCATGTCACTAAATATCCTTTCTCGAGATCCATTAACAGCAGTCATTTTACTGTAAGGATATATTATTTCTGAGTACAGAGATCAGAGCTAATTAAGGAGCTAAACGAGAAAAGAGAACAATGTGTTCCATACCTTGTCCTTGCCAGTATTTACCATGTTTAGAGCCCTATGGAAAGACATTCAGAAAAAAAAAATGGCAATTTTTCTAAACTTGTTCAGTCTCAGCCTAAAGTGCATCTGTATATTCATGACTTAAACCCTTGAATTCCCATGGTAACAGAGTTTTTCCACCATAGATCTCCATCTCCCCCTGTCCATGGCAACTCTTTCCAGTTGGTTCCAGCTCATACAGTTGTACGAAATGCACTATTCATCTGAATCAAACAATTCTGAGCCTNCCCCCCCCCCAGATGGGATACTACTCTATCACAAGGAATTACCCCCTACTTACTGAAGCGTATATGTCAGGTTGTTCTTACAACGTGCCAGCAGCTATTCATATTCCTAGGGGAGGGGTGGGGGAGAGGGGTGAGAGGGGCACTATGAGAGTTAAGTGTTTTGTCTAAGAGTACAACACAATGACTAGCTGGGGTTCAATGCCAGACTACTTGATCAGAACTCCAGTACATATGTCAGCCATCAGCTAAACTTAACATCCCATAAAGCTGTACAATACTACAATCACAAAACAACTACTCACTGAAAGCGACAGTTTGGGATTGTGAGGTTTGGGTGTACCAATATGAATCCACCGCCAGACTTCAAAATCCTCTCCAGCGATCCTCTGACTTTCCACTCGAATACGGGATTCATTAGCACTCAAAAACCGAACAGCTCTGTTCCATGCTTTGGAAAGTCTCTGTCTGTTTGAAGAAAGAAAGAAATTTTTTGTCAATCTGAAACATATTAGTCCAGAATTATAGTATGATGCAAATAATTTACATGAGCATGTGAGGCAGAGCAGTACTTTTGAGCAGTACTTCTCCTAAACTGACTCTCAGAAGTGTTAAATATATAATGTGCATGCAATACAGCATTTTAATGCTTCCTGTTTCTTTTAAAACTATTAGGTAAGAAATGTAGAACTTTGTGCTGTCACATATTATTAGGTAGTTACATAGCCCGCTGCAGAACACCAAGCCAAACAAGCAGAAAATGTGTCATATTCATTTTATAATTTACTATTAATTTTTTTAAATTTTATTTTGTTCCTCCAATTCCTAGCTAATACATAGATATGTAAATATAACATAAAGAAAGTAAATAGTAACCGATAGTGCTTTGTAAGGGAGAAAAAAATGAAAAAAACAGAAATTACATCACTTAAATTGAATTACATTGTATATTGGAAGGAGAGGAGAGGGGCACATCTAGATAAACTAATTTTGTGCCCCTTAAAGTTATGTAAAACTTGAGATTATTAATAAAAAGAAAAGAAAAAGAAGAGGAAAAATGACAAAATAGCTCAGAAAGTTATAAAGAGATAATGTTTTCATTAGTATTGAGAAAGGTACCAGCGTAAAAGTGCTTTTAATTAACTATTAATTTCATGAAAGCCTGAAATCTGTGACTAAAAGATACTATCATCCTATTCAGGTAAGTCAAAGGTACATTTAGTCCAGGACGACTCAGTAAGCTTGAATAACCTAAATTTCTGCACATTGTACAGTAAGGTTTCCTTGTGATAAGAAATTACTCTATTAACAGGTAACAGGAAAAGGAGTCATATGGCTCCTTGGCTCAATGGTACTGGCACTTATATGCAGCTTTGGTCACATGAAGAGAATGGAATATTGCTACACCCCAGGAAGGGCTACTACTCTATAGTAGGTTAACCAACTTATCGCTTTGAAAGCTATCCCCCAGTATAAAGTGACAAAAACTCTGTAAACCAACTTATCGCTTTGAAAGCTATCCCCACTAAAAAGTGACAAAAACTCTGTGATAGGAAATGTCAATGCCAAGAACCTTGCCCGAACCCAGATTTATCAATTTGGGGCATAATTTACCTATCATCAGGCAACAGATATCTAAGCAAACCTGTCAGATGGAGGAATCAGCATGTCTCGAACATGAGGAATGGGAAGATATGGCAACAGATTCTTCTCCGCTTTACTGGCCTCATGATGCTCTCGTAAAATGTCTGGATAAAAACAGCATTAACATTCAATGCACTCCTTTGATGTTTCCTTTTAAAGAAAGGTTCCATTATTTTTTATAAAAGAATTTAATCTATGTTTTCCAGACTAAAGCCAATTTTTCACAAATTTATGCTCACAAAGTGATCAAAGAACACAGAAAACAAACATCGTCATATTGTTACATCAAGGGATTGGCAGAGAGGAGAGGATTGGAATAGAGAGGATTGGTCTTGTAAGTAGTTTGTTGGTCTTGTAAGTAGTTTGTAAGTGTACTTGACAGACACACCATGTTGTAAATAATGTTTGTATTTTGAAATAAAGCATAAAAAATAAATAAAAAAAAAAGAAAAAAAGGATTGGCAGAGTTCAATACAGCACTGTAATGTGACACCACACATTTTTGCATGTACCAAAAATATGTCAAGTTATCTGCTAAACCTACCAATAATATTCTCCACAAACTGATACATCAGTCGTGTCTCCTCCTCCTCTCTCCTCCATCTTTGCCGCACAATAAAATATGCAAACATCAATCCTCCGACAGCTAAAGAAAGAAATAAACATGCTGGTAATAGAAGCAACTAGTTTTAAGAGGATTTCTTCATTGATTGCAGTAGCTTTTCTTTTGTATTAGCCCTTAGGATTAGTTTGGACACAACTCGACATGATGACTGGTCATTGAGAACTTTCTAGAAAACAGTTTTCACTACCTTTTAGATACAACATAGTTCTGAAGGTTATAAATTCACTTGACAAAATAGACAACCATTACCACTTACATGGATCTTAACAAGGAACAAGGAACAGGCATGAAACCCTTACTTTTCAGTTGCCACTCTGGAAAGTTGTTATATTTGACTTTGCAAGACAGAAAGCAAGAGAGTAAGAATCTTGCTTTGGATAATACAGTCAAACTCTGTATTACTTTACAGACAATTAATTACAGGTCTTAAGTCTTTTATGCAGCACATTTGAATATTAGGAGCCATAGAAATATTCTATTGTCAGGTTTTATTATTATTAACCAAGTGCTTTTGGTCTCTGCATGCTGAAAGTCCAAACATTTTCACTTCAGACAACCAACTTATATGAACCCTGTACAGTTCCATCATGTCTGACATTGCTTTAATTTGTTTTAGCCAGTTCTAACTTGTGTAAAGACATCACTGTACTTACCAAATCCAATCAAGAAAGAGAGATATGCCAAGCGGGACATTGCTTCTCTGATGCGACACAAGATAGGTTTTGCAGAAACTGATGTGTCAATCCATGCCACATTTGTAATATTAGCTGTTTCTTCATTACTTTCATTGAACAATCTGAAAAATTTAGCAAACTCATTAGAAACGGAGCAAATTTAATTATATATATATGTACATGTACATCTATTGACAAGATTATCACTAAATGGGTGGGAATGGACTTTGGTACCACTCATTAACCTTCATGTTACCTTATTTTCCAGTCAGAGTTATTACAAATCAGTTCCAGTGTACTGTTGAGGATCTTCTTTCGATCTGGAGCCCCTCTTGATGTCTGCAACATAAAGCATAATTATTGTTTGAGCTACAAAATTTACTGTCACTGCAAAAAGCATGTCTTGAGTATATTAAATTGTGAACTGTGCAACTAATTTCCTCAACAATTAACTGTTTTATTATTATCAGGGTGAGTGTACCAGCTTTCCAGCTTACATTTTGGACAAGGTCTAACTATGTTTTTAATGCACTGGTTCAAAATTCATTCTCACTAGCCCCCCAAAAATTAAAATGCAATTATACAATAATTTCACTTCTTGCAGTACTTCTGTAATTTGAATTTCCTCAAACATTTTCTCAAAAAACACTTCACTTAGCCATCAGGGAAGTACACTATCCTAAATTATACAACTTAAGGACTGCTTCACATTTAACTTATTTTTTCATCTTGAAAAATTATATTTATCTCAAGAGTAGCCAGCATGTTCAGGACTACATGTAGAAGACAACAATTTTTGCCAGTTGCTGGTTCTTACAGAGAACATTGGGTTAGTATACTATAAGTTCAGCTTGCCCTTGAAAGTAAAGGGTAAAGTCTGCATACGAGCCAAGTGGCTCATCAGGCTAGAGCTTATCCTGGTTTCAGTAGCATGAAGTGACTAGGAGTATTTCTACTCCCACCTGGATGGGATGCTAGTCCATCACAGGGTTACCCCCAGCATTAAATTCGCAGGTACCCATTTATACACCTGGGTGGCGAGAGGCACTGTGAGAGTAAAGTGCCTTGCCCAAGAACACAACACGATGTCCCCAGCCAGGGCTTGAACCTGGACCACTCGCTCTGGAGTTGAGCACCCTAACCATGAGGCCACTGTGCCTCCCACTTTGAAGGGGAAAGTTGAAAATTTTGGTTGTTTTCTTTTTGACACCTTGCAGTGAACAATAGTAACTAACGGTATCTGTTAGGCCAGTCAGATTACTCATTTTATTTCCTGAGCACATTAAGGATTTGCATACACCTGTACAAGGGAGTACTCTTTTATATGCAATACCACCACTACAAGGAATGGTGATACTAAAACCGAGTTAACTACTTGTCTTTGTTAATCTAAAAGTATAAGTCGACTTGTTGCTTATTCTTTGATGAGTATTTGCTTCTCCACTTACATTATCTTCCTCAATTTGTTTTTTAAACTCTCTCAAAGAAAGATTTCTACTCTCTGTACTTGTATCTTGGCATTCAAATAAACCTGCATGAAAACATGATAACATTTGTAGATTGAAATATGACACATTGAACTAGAATCATAGAATCATGACACATCAGGCTAGACCTCATCATCACTGATTAATCTGTAATTCAGCACTCTTATCTTACCTGCTTTGACAACTAGCTGTTTAAACAGCAACTCTGCATATGCCTTGCTGATATTGACCAACGTTATACAATCAGGGGGCTACGAGACAAAACAGAGACACAAATATATTGAAAAGAGAGAGAAGAGGAGAATTAAAACCATGTTGAGAAGCCACACGTATTTAAGAAGCTCTCTGAATTTGCTTTTCTAAAAGAAATAACTTACTTTAAGTATCATTGTATTTAACAGTGCTGTCCTAATTGCGTCAAAGACAATAAATAAACAAACAAATCTCACAAATTGATTATTAACCCAATAAAAATCTCTCCTCGTAAGAGGCTGACCAGTTTGCCACATAAAGGGCATGGTCAAGGAGTTTAACTTCAGACTACGAAGAACAAATTCAGATAGCAGCAGGGTGGAGGAGTTAAACCAGGGACCTCCAGATTTCAAATACAGCCTGCTAAACCACACTACTGGTGTTGTATTGCAGTGTAAGAATATTGCTAGCCTGTTCCAGGCTCTTGACAGTTGGGGGCAAGCAAAAAAGAGAACTACCGAGAGTCTGGAACTGGCTAGAATGTTGCTAAAATGGCTGAACTCTAGTATATGTCCATCACAATGTAAGAATCTGTACTATTTTTATGACTCATTCTGCAAAGCTCACCAACATTGTATTAAAATATTACAAAGAGAAACTAGTCCCATTATGTTTTATAATTTCTACAAATTCAAAATTGCATTTATTTCATAAAGGAAAAAAACCCTTTAATTTGCCTTCATAGTTGTATTTCTTTCAAATATTCTAAACATTACTTTGCTGTAAAATCTCTTATTACATGATTTTTAAAATAGCGTTGTCAAAACAGTGAATAAATGAAGCATATTTACAGCGAGTGATATTAGTAGAGGTTGCAATGTCACAGTTTCCTCATTAATCAGAAATCGGGTATATTGTTATCTTTTGATTAGGTATTGTATATCAAGTTGTTGTAGTTACCTTTGGTTCATTATATTTCTCCACCTCGTTTTCACCTTGACAGACTGGTAGCTTCACTGAGACAAAGATGTACGAAGGACACTTTCAACAGAAGTAATTAATAAATAATACGAGAAAAAAATTAAAATAATGTTATGATTAGTTAAGTCCATAACCGAATTTAAATCACTGCTTTAAGATTACGGTAACTTGTACAGGCTCTTTAAGAAGCAAGTCGCTGATAGCTACATGTGTACCCATAACAGCTCTGTCTTTTCCAAATGCAAAACATCAAGTAATATTCTTACCCAACTCTGGGATCATTTTTTCGCTTGAGTGGCTCTTGAGGGTCATATACAACAACACAGCCATGCAAATAGCGATTATCACCAAAGCAATCTTGATTGTCGAGGACCAGAAAGAGCTTCTCTTCACAAGTCTGGCTCCAGCGGGTCTCTCTTGGAGTGAAAGGTCCAGTTCCGAATCAGCAGTTACGCTTCGTTCGTTGTTGTCATACGATGTCGATGGAATAGAAGTTTCTGATCTTTCGCTTTCGTCTCGACCCCCTTCACGTCTTACCGGCCGCAAATATCTAGTTATTCCAATACCGCGACTCTTTGATCTGGAATAGACTTGCCCGTCGGAATCTGAAACTTCAACGTTATTACCATCTGAAGTGTCTAAAATTTTCTCAGGAACGCTGTCGATAAAGCTTGGCTCTCGCGGCCTTAACTTACTTCTCTGTGGAGTCGTCGGTTTCGACTTTCCTCGTCCCGGATATTCGTTTGTGGCAGTAGTGTCTTCACTTCGCCTACCCCTTAACCTACTTGAGTCCACTAATCCCCCAGAACGATTCGGTTCTGCGTCTTCTTCATCGCTCGAAAATCCGATCAACTTTCGAGACGGACTCCGATTTCTTGTTGCGGGCAACGACCTCCTGGGAGTAGCTCTCCTAGGTGCCGGCTTTTCTGCACTCGACTTATTGCTCTTTTGTTCATTCTGCAACCGCTTCAATTTGCGAAGAAGTAATGGCCTTGTAGTATCAGTCACAGGCCCGACATCTTCACCAAAAGTCTTGAGTTGGCGACGCAATTCGACATCAGAAATATTACTGTCCCTAGCCGCCATTTTCTGAAGACTGTCCATCAGGCCAGGCTACATTGCGGCTAACAATTTTTGGGCAGGACCGCTGAATCATTACACGCCCAGTGCGCTTAGAGTAAAATCCTTGGAGCAACGGTAAGTAACTCTAGTTTGCTCTGACTCTCTTTTCCTCCCCTCTCCCCTTCTCCACACTTCGACCGGTATCATATGTGTCGCTCGGGGCCCCTGCTATGGCGTATGTTGCCATAACAACTACATGTTCTTTTCCCTCAGTCAAGTCCCCACTGCTCGTTACGGCACATTGTTTACATCCGCTCTCCATTGATTCCGCCCGTTAGCTATGCTATCACTTCGTCAAGTCGAGCACCCCAGGGAGTCCCCAATCAACAACTAGTTCATGCTTTAGATTGCACCATCGAGTTATAAGCACGTAGAAAGTTTGGAGATCACGAAAGCAGTGTAATAAGAGTTACTCGAAAAGATAGCTGAGAGCAATTATAACTTCTTGAGCCGGCTCTCCAAACTTCCCAAATGCACCATAACTTGATACTGCTCGGCTAATAGCACGAACCAATTGTTTTATAACATTGCTGGTTAAAAGCATGAAAACCAGTGCCAGAGAAAAAAAATTCTGGCAGAGCGGTTTGCGCACGCTATCAGCGTAAACTGAATTTTATTGCGCGGCTCCGCTAACTGTGTTATAATAATGGGTTAAAAAATTGAGTAAAATGTTTGTTCAACCAGCAGGTGAATAATCACAGTGATGTACAGTCGGAACCTCTCCCCAACGGCCACCAGGAAAAAGTGGCCGTTTTAGAGAGGTGGCATTTATGAGCAGGTAGGGGTGTAACGTGACACCTATTTTTTTCGTGGATTACATTTTTATATTTAAAAAATGCACGGTGTAGCATGTAAATACATAACACAATCAAAAGATACCAATAAAACAAAAACCAAAGAGAAACAGAAACCAAAGACGTGCGGTATGGATCGAGTTTTGTGACCTTTTTTTTCCATAAAAATGGGCTTTTGTTTTTACCGTTCGTCAGCCTTGTTGATTAACTGATCGTTGTCGAGAGGTTATTTTGGCACTTGGGATCGTGGGACGCGCTTTAGTGGCCGTTGCCGTTGAGGAAAGGTGGCCTTCGTAAAGAGGTTAAACTAAGAATGAATGTATGGACCGTCTGCCGGGACAAATAAATGGCCGTTGTAGAGAGGTGGCCGACGGGAAGGTTCGACTGTAGTTATAAGTATATTTTGTTCAGCTGGGGATATGGTAGTCTTCGGGTATAGTTCTTGCTTCTGGCTAGCCCTTGTAGGTGTGGATTCTCAAGACAAAAACCAAAGGCATCCAAGGGAACTAACCACACGACTTCTGTTTATCACGGAAAGTATCATTTACTCACAATGTCAGAAGCAGCTACCAAGCATTGCATATCACCGATCGAGAGTAACATTTGCCACGGAGGTTGTTACCGAAAAAACAATTCATTTAGCCGGAGTACGCAATAGTACGAGTTTCGATGGAAAAGTTAGTGCAGATCATATAAACCCAACCTAAAAGCCGCTGGGAACGAAGTTGATCACAACCAAGAAAGAGAAGCGAATTCTTAACTATGGGTGCTTACCATTTAGCCAAAATATCCGGAAATTTCGGTTAAAAGTCAAATAGGACAGTAAGTTTCCGGAAAATCCGTTCGGAAATTATAGGTATATTCCGGTTGCATCTCTTCTTGAATAGGCCCTTTGCACGATCCGGTCACATGTAACGGAATTAATTATGCTGGGACACAAGTTACACAATGGGACTTTCAAAACAAAGGAAAATGGGGCTGAACTGGTACGAGTTCCTTTGTTTTGGAAGTCCCACTGTGCAACTTGCGTCCCAGCATAATTAATTCCGTACCATGTGACCGGATCGTGCAAAGGGCCTATTCCACTACAGTCAAACCTCGATTATCCGGACCTCGATTATCCGGACTATTCGATTATCCGGACTTTTTTCTCTGGTCCCAATTTGTTAATGAATATTAATTAGTTGTGATCTTGAAAACTCAAAGTCGCAAAAAGCCCAATAATCCTTTCAAAACACTGTCGAAACAGCATATTATCCTGTGCGATAATATCGCCGAGTCCATGGTCGAAATGTTGGAACATGTACAGCAACTTGACAATGAGGAAATGCCTAATGCTCACGATGTGGAAGACTGGCTTAACT